GTTGATATTCATTTAATGGATTGATTCATAGCTTTCTGGTCGAACACAACAAATTCTGTTCAAATCTAACTTGATACGAAACTGTCATACGATGTTCAAAATCAATGACAGATATAATTTCAAACATCACTGTCTTGCGTATGATATTCAGATCATTGCTATCTCTTCAAATTTACATACTCCAATGCTATGATGACATGCAGATTAATTTTGATGTAAATAGTTTATTTAAAAAAATTAATTTTTATTTTTAAATTATTTTTATTACATAATTATTTTTTAATAAGGTTTAAGCAAATATATTTTTTTAAACATATTAAGAAAATACATATCTTTAAATTTTTTAAGAAAATACGTTGTGCAATTTACAGTGAATTAATTGAAATTAAGATAAATTAGTAAGCAATATTTGTTTTTCAATCGACGAAATATATACAATTTTTCTAAAAAATTTTTATTTCTACCAAATAATTTTTTAACTGATTGACAGCACAGGTTGAAGATGAAGTTCAGTTCAGTAGTGGTCATTATGTTTGTCATTTTGTTTCCTGCGCTGATGACAACCGGAGAAGACTATAGAGAAACTGATGATATTTTAGAAGTTATTCGTCGTTTAAGGGTTAGTTTTTGAATACAGATGATTACTAACAACTTATTCCATTTAGCAAATGATCAGCGGCATAGCAACAGTGGAGTAGCTTGAGCTTTAAGAAAGAGCACTTTCAAGCAATCACCCATAAAATTCGACGTTTAATATAAATTAGTTTGATTTTTTGAAAAAAATATTTTAAAAAAGCATCTCTTTTGAATAACAATCTCACAATAAACTACAGTTGTTTATAAACTTTATTAATTGCCGCATTTGAAAACTTAATGTAGAAAACTTAAAAAAATAATCAGTGGTTTTTGTATAAGGGCGCCAAAATATTTAAATTTCAGTTCAAGGAGGCAGATGAAGCATTGCCAAAAGTGAATTTTAAAGTTCCACCGTCACAGCAACAGGTTGCATAAATTTGAAACTTCGATTGTTCGCGAACTATAATTAATATTTCCTGACTTCTTTTGGATGATTTAATAAAAATTATCAATGCAGAGTTCGTTTTAACGTTTTTAAAATATGAAACTGTTTTTAAAGTTTTCTAAAAATCGCTTCCAAATAAACCGGTGTTTTGTATCTTATAAGAAGTAATCAGGTGTAACAATCATTTTTAACTGATTAAATTTTGCGACAAAAAATTATACAACTTAAAAATTAATGACCAATTATTTAATTTCAATCGATAAAAGATCAACAAATTTGAAAAGATTTTAAAATATAGCTATAGAAAGAAATTTTATTTGCGTGAAAATGAAACAAATGTGATAACAAAATGGATTACATCATTATTTCACAGAACGTTTTGATTCACTTTGACATTAAAACTGAAATTGAATAATAAAACCATATTTTGAAAATTGAAAAATCCTTGGATGTATTTGACTTACTCAAAAATATAATGTAAAAAATTATTGTGAAAATGGTTGATAGGATGATCATCTTATCATCACCACCATCACCATTGTGGTAATGGTGGTGATGATAAAATACGATGATGATAATAAAAATATGATAATAATAGGGATGGTGATGATGAGGATGATGATGATGGTGAATATTTAAAGTGAATGCGTAGAAAAACAATGACGGTTAAGGAAGTTTAAAATTATAATTTTAAGTTTATGCGAAAATCATTCCGAAAATCGTAAATTAATCATAACCAAACGAAGTAAAATTAATATAATCATCTAAATATTCATCATTTTCGTCATCATAACCATCATCATTCACAAGTTTACCACCAATTTTTCTAGTCGTAATCAAAAAAATTGCTGACTGCCAACAGGAGAAACGCATTCAATGGACTCAAGAGTTATTTCAACTGGCTTATTGTTTCTTTCAGTCAAAATGTGACTTCTTCCAAAAGATTTGCGGCTACTAATGAATGATTTGCGGTTATTTTTACCAGACTTTTGGTCACTGGCATTAAATTTGTAAAACGGTTCAGTGGACTTTTCGTTTTGTTCGATGGACGTATTGTTTTTCAGTTTTTGACGTTTGGACATATTCTCACATGACGATTTGACCTATTGGCGGAAAATTTTTATACTTTGTTATGACAATAACACGTGGTTTAATGTCATGTTAATGCGATTCGATGATATGTGATGATGAAGTTGCATTACGTATATTGAATAAGCCGCAATGATGTGATAATGTGATATGAAGTAGTGATGTGCTTATGGCATCTGATTATATGATATAGTGATGTGATAATGTGATTACGCAATGTAGAGATGTGACGATGTGATGATGCAATGATGTGATGATGCAATAATGTGATGATGTGATGATGTAATGATGGAACGATGTGATGATGTGATGATGCAATAATGTGATGATGTGATGATGGGACGATGTGACAACAGTTGATGTCGTCTTTTAATAGCGCACTCAGAAGGAGAT